CTTCATGTGCCTCTCCCACCTCATTCCCTGTCTTGGTTAATGGGAGCGCCAGGTTCATTTTCAAGCTAGAAGCTGTTGTTATGTTTCACCTGCTCCTGTCCCTCACTTCCCACATACATCAGTCCCCAGGCCTGCCAGTTCCACCTCCAGACTCTCTCTAATTTTGCTCTTCTCCATCCTCACTAAAAATTCCTTTAGTGATGTAGATTCAGTGAGTGAATTAACTTACCTCTTCGCAGGGTTCTGGGTGTCTGGTTTTTCTCCTCTCCAGTTTGCCTCCCACTCTACAGCTTAACTTATTAAAACACAGGGTGCTCTCCTTCCATTGCCTATTGGATTAACTCTTGGGTTTTCTTTAAAATGATAAAAAATCAACAATACGACTTAAAGCCAGATGCAGTAGAGCGCAGTATTTTGATTCTGTACCCCTTCCACCTCCTTTTCCAGGAAGCAAAGTGCGGTGATTTTAATGCTGTCATAGTGGAAGTATCCGGACAAGCCCATTACACCGGGACAGCCAGTTTTACAGTAGAAGACGATGACCCACTGAGGGATGGGTTTCTTCTCAAGTGACTTCTGGGACTTTTAAGGGCTTTCTTTTTAAAGCAGTTATTATCAGTAATTTTTATCTGAATTATGTGGAAACCTATATCCAAATTGTACATGTAAGCCAACTCCCATCCCTTTCTAAAATAGCACACTGTGGCTAAATATAATGTCATTAGTATTTGCATATATGTAGGTTTAGGTCTCACGTCCTATTTTTGGCACACACAATACCAAAAATTCATAATATTTTTCTAGTTATTAACATATCAGGTAAAGTTAAAACCTTGGTTCTTGTTTTAAACTGTCACTCTACAGTAATTATTTTGTTCTAAATGCTCTTTGCATAATAGCTTGAATTGTAGCCCTCACAACAATGACTCTTATCAGTTCATTATTTTAATTCTTCCAGCTTTTGAATAAAATAATGCCCTTTCTCTAAGCAGGGTGTAAGGGCGATGAGTTATTACAGGGTGCTCAGCACTTAACATGCAGAGCCTGGGAAGGAGCGGGGTGGGTCAGCTTCTTTGGGTACGTGTTACAGCTGCTGCCAGCTGTTCTCTGAGCTGCAAAACTGAGCCTCTACCCCAGGTAACTGAAGTCTCATAAACTGCTGTGAAAAGACCAACTTATAGTCAGACTTTTGATATATCTTTAAGGCTCTTATGGAAGGGATTGTGTATTGCATTAGTGAAATACAGGTGTATAGTAGAAATCAACCAGTGAATCACTACAGTGGGACAAGTCTCATACTCTACCAACTACATGCCAGGTAGATTTAAAACATGATGCCCTGGTTGGTGTGGCTCAGTTGGATGAGTGTCATCCCATGCACCAAAAGGTCGCTGGTTCGATTCTGGTCAGGGCACAAACTGGGTTGTGGAATCGATCCCCAAATAGGGGATGTGCAGGAGGCAGCCGAGATGTTTCTCTCTTACATCAATCGATGTTTTTCTCTCTCTCCTTTCCCCTCTTGTCTCTTTAAAATCAATAAAAGCATGTTTTAAAAAATTAAAAAATAAAACATGAAAGAAATGATAACCCTTGGTATTCTTGCTAGTAAATTGTCTGTGAGCTTGTTAACAATACATTTGGTCATTACCAGTCATTATAGAATGAAGTATTAAAAACTATTCAACGTATGATGCTCTCAATATTCCTTAGGCTCTGCTGTGAGGTAAGTAGTATTTTTTTTCTGAGCAGACAGAAACTGAAGTAATTTATTTAAACTGGCTTTGCCATCCAGCAAATCTGTAAAGACCTACTTATTAGTCTGATTGAATCCCCACCAAAATCAATTACACAAAAAATGTTTCCCACTCATCCTCTAAAACATTCTATGGTGAAAAAATCACTTCTTTCTAAAAAATGACAGTGTCACTAACTTTCTCCTTTATCAACGTTCCCCTTTCCCTCTGGGAAACTAGCCATCCCCTGAATGCAGCCTTGCTGGGACTACCAGGCATGGGGGACACCAACCAGGCTCTTTCCCCAGGATCTCGGATCTTAAGAGAAATGATTGATTCCGTCTCAAAAATGGTTGAAGCAGACTTATTCTGACAGAGCCTTAAAGAGACCACCCTCATTAGTTTCTGCTGTCTCTACCCACAGGGCTGCCCCACCTTCTCTTGTTCTTGGGGCTGGCTGGGAGACTATCCTTTTGTAATCTGAACTTCCCCTATCATTCCAGTAAATTCCTTCCTTGCTTAAGGGACACAGTGCCCTATTTGTACTGCTTATATCCAGAGACCCTAATCCATACACTAGCTCCTTAAAGTCTCTTCCTCCTCTTCATTGTAAATGCCCGAGTTCAGACTCTTTCAGTTCTTCCCTGGGCCATTAAAATGCCTTTTCTTAACTGGTCTCCCAGTTGCCAGATTCTTCTCTGACAGGCACTCAAAAAATATTTGTGTGTGTGTGTGTGTGTGTGTGTGTGTGTGTGTGTGTGTTTCTAGTAGTTTTCCAGAGTGCTAGGTACTAGGAATCTAATACACAAGCAAAGTCCTAGTCTTCACAGAGCCTACAGTCTACCATGGGAGGCAAGTAATAGTCATGGAAACAATTATAGACAGTGGTATGTCCTCCAAGCCAAGAGGGCTTCCCCTGAGAGACTGACATTCATGCGGAGATGGGGATACTAGGGGACTGGGAGAAGGGGTGGTGGAGCTTTCCCCAGCAGAAGGGATAGAAAGTGCAAATGCCCCAAGGAACTCACAGTTTGATTAGAGTGGAGCAAAATAGAAGATAAGTGGCCCAAAATGAGAGTAGAGAGAAAGCAGGTGTGAAATCATGCAGTGTCTTGTAAATATTAAGGATTGGGGTCCTTATCCTAAATTAAACGGAGAAAGACAGAGTGTTTAAGTGAGTGGCATGATCAAATTGATTTTGTTGAAAAGAGCATTCTGCCTATAGTGAGGAGTAGGGGCTGGATGTGGGGAGACCCAGTTAGGAGGTGGCAGCAGTAGTCCAAAGAAGATGAGAGCTAAGATTCAGGTGGAGGGTGGAGTGATGGAGGAAGTGAATGGATACAAAGCTATTTAACAAGTAAAATTCCAGGTCTTGGTGAGATTGGACATGCGCTGGTGATGAGGAAGAGAAATTTATCTAGAAAGAACCCTACGTTTTTGGCTAGTCAACTAGATGGAAGGTGGCACCATTTTTTGAGATACAAAATACTGAGGACCAAGGTTTTTAGGAAATATCATGAATTCCATTCCAGTCTTAGTTTACCACCTTCAATGAACTATTTATGCTGTAAATTTCCAGAGGATATTTTTCCTCTCTGAAATAAGCACCCAAAGCAAGAATATCATTGATTCTAAGACCTACAAATGTACTAGTCATTCTTTCCAGCAGTGTCTCTCAAACTTGACTGTGTATCAGAATCACTTGCAAGGCATGTGCCTGGGCCCCACCCTAGAATTTCAGATTCAGGTTTGGGGCAGAGCCTGAGAATCTGCATTTCTAACAAGTTCCTGATACTGATGCTGCTGGTCCAGGGTCTACACTTGACAAACCACAACCTTAGAGAACCTGAGGGCTGATCACACCTTCCCCCATTAGAAGCCATGCCCAGAAACTTGAGATGCAGCATCCCTGGGCCCGCAAGCCCTTCCTGTTCCTGTATCTCCCAACCTGCCACTGCATCTGTGGTGACTGCCTAGTTGGCAGCACCTTAGACTCAAAACACATCACATTCCAGAGAACTGAGGCAGGCCAGGCCACGGGAAAGGAACAATTGCTCTCCATTCTCTCCCAGCACGTGTGTGAGCCAGTTATGGTCCTGAGGTCCAGGCTCTTTAAAAACAAGGCGACACCCTGCCTCCAACACCCATATGCTAGCTCCTCAGAGCACCTGTAGCAGAATCACCTGTGGGGTTTAGCACCATGGACCTGTCCTCAGTGATCCTGGGAGTCAGCCAGTGAATCTGCATTTTAATAAGCACAGCCCATCAGCGGTTCTCCAAGTGCGGTCATCAGACCAGCAACATCACCACCACCTAGGAACTGGTTAGAGATGCAAATTCTAGGACAGGACCCCAGACCCACCGAATCTGAAACTCTGGGGTTGGGCCCAGTCATTTAAGTTTCAGCGAGAAGCCTAGGAGATTGTTACATGCTCATGTTTCAAAACACCTGGTTTAAACTGCCCTGCCCCCCAAGTTTACGATCTCCGGATTTGAACAGCTTTTCTGTTCAGGTTCTTGATTCATTCCTGAAAACACCCACGGGGAGGCAAAGCAGCCCGCACGAAGACCTCCCTGCAGCGCATCTGTATCCAAGAAGAGAGCTTCGGAAGGAAGCTTTGTTGAATCTGGTCATTGGTGTGGTGGCCGCTCCCGCGTCACCTGGCCAGCGGTCCCGGCGGAGGCGCATGTGTCCTCCCGCAGCCCAGACCCCGGGCCGCGCAACCTCGCGGGGAGGTGAAGCTGTGCGCCCGCCTTTCCCACGGCACTTGGCCCGCGTCCCGCCCCGCGCTCCTGCGCAAAGCGGCGGTTCCCTTGGCAACGCCTGGAGCCGCGTCAAAGGTTGCGC